TTACAGAGGTCTTCCCCCTGTTTTAAAACAACACAATGGACATCTCCTTTTTTTTTTTTTTTTTTAGTGTTTTCTTTCCATGGAAACTTTCTGGGGTGGGGGGGAGGGGTAGGAGGGAGAGGGGACGACGGGTTATAACACCCGCATAAGCTCTGAAATATGGAAGTACCGCAATGTGCTTTTACAGTAACATTTTCCTGTTTTATGAGAAGTCGTTACAGTCCCAGCTTGCGATGGTTTGTTTTTACAGGCAAGAATCCCCCCTTCCCAGCGGGTTTCCTCAGCAGCTTGGAGTGTGATTAGCAAGCCAAGGCTGCGGGATTTATTTAAACACCCTGCCTCGCATTGATTAAGAAATGAATGGCAGAAATCACTCCAAAGAGCTGAAGCACCAGTTTAGCTGATTGATTTACTCGCAGTATTGGTAAATATGATCACGTGGGCCCCGCGACCAATGGTTGAGGGTTGCAGTCTGCAAAATACTACGATTGTTCTCAGGGAGGGTATCATATACAGTTAACAGTGTAACCTTTTATATGACTAAGAGGGGAGCCTAAAATGTCGTCTAGTGGCACCATAAGTAACTATTATGTCGATTCTCTCATAGGCCATGAAAGCGAAGAAGTTTACGGGAGTAGATTCGTCCAGGGAGGTCACAGTGCGACCTCCAGGCCATCAGGTGTTGCAGAGAGTTCAGATTTTTCCTCTTGTAGCTTTGCGCCAAAATCTACCGTTTTCTCCACCTCCTGGTCCACGGTTCACCCTCAGCCGTCTGCGGCAATGACCGGGATCTACCACCCCTACATGCACCAGCCCCACTTAGGGGCCCTCCTCCTCCTCCTCCTCCTCCAAAAGGACTGAGTGCTCCTCGTCCCGGGAGTCCCAGGGGATCGCTGTGCCCGAGTACACGTGCAGCTCCTTCCTGCAGGAGCCCCGGGAGAAGACGGCTGCCGGCAGCTCCAAGGACCCTGCCGCCTGCAGCCACAACCCCAGCCCGAGCAGCGATCTGAAGGAGGAGAAGCAGCAGCAACTTGACCCAAGTAAGTGGGGAAAAAAAAAAAAAGAGGAGAGAGGCAGAGGGGGGAGAGAGAGACAGAGAGAAGGAGAGAAAGAAAAGAAAAGAAAGAAAAAAAAGAAAGAAATTGCCTCTTTGATTTATTGCCGAAACCTGTAAGGCTCGAATGTGCAAAACTGATAGTTTTACTAACCTATAAAAACGTCTAGACGCCTACCCCAGCGCAAGCAGCAACAAGCACCCATAAAAGACTCCACATAACCACCTACCATCAAGACATCATTTGTACAGTAAACAGACTGGGGCATTAAGGCTTTTATGATAATTCCTCCAAAGTTGTGAAAACAGTCCATCCTTCGTTAAATTAATTTAACGACCTTTCTCTCCCCCCCCCTTCCCTATATACTTCACTTCTTCCAGATAACCCTGCAGCAAACTGGATCCACGCTCGTTCAACGAGGAAAAAGCGTTGTCCTTATACAAAGTATCAAACTCTGGAACTGGAAAAGGAATTCCTCTTTAACATGTACCTCACCCGAGACCGCCGCTACGAAGTAGCTAGGATTTTAAATCTCACAGAGAGACAGGTCAAAATCTGGTTTCAGAACAGAAGAATGAAAATGAAAAAGATGAACAAGGAGAAAGGCAGTAAAGGAGACTAACGCTGGGCTAGAAATGTAGTTGGGGAATATTGCTTTGGGATTTTTTTTTTAGTTCGGTTTTATTTTCCCCCTGACCCCCCTTAGACCCGATGCATTTCTCCTCCTCCTCCTCCTGCGCCCCCACCCCACCCGAGGAACTTTAAATCAATCTGGTCTTTTTTAGATAGAAGTGAAACGTGGTCTATGTCAGGTATTTGGGAAAATTTTGTCTTGTTCGCCAACGTGTTTTCCAGAATCGCTTAATTCCCCCCACTCCTCCTTTCCAGACCGTCTGGTTGATGATATTGTGAGTGCACGTTAGCTTTGGGAACTCTCTCTGATGTTAAATGTTTGACATGTTTCTTAAAAGTGACGTAGTCTAGATAGATACTTTGCCAAAATAAAGGTAAGGAGAATAATTATAATTATGATAATAAAATATATATTAAATTACAGTCGCTTAAAGCAACGGGGTTGTTGTGTTGTCCATGACTTATTAAAAGGAAACGTTATCCAAAACCTGCTTCCTAGGTCTGAATTTCCCTCCTTTGCAGTAAAAGCCGCCGCAGGGGCAGGCTCCCAGACCTCCCTGTTTAGCGCTGGGGCGAGGCGGCTGCCGCTCCCAGAAAGCCGCTTCCAGAGGCCCTGCGTATTCCCGGTGCCCCGGCCGGCTGAGCGCTGCGGCTCCTCTCCGTTATTCCATAAGAATCAAAAAAGGCCGCCGTGCTCGATGGCAATGCGCTGCTGTGTGCGGAGCGCCTTGCGCGCCCGCCGCGCCACGGGGCCGCGCAAACCCCACGCGGCCTCCCCGCGTTGGCCCTCCACCATCAGCGAGCGTTTGGGGAAAAATACCGTGTTTTATTATTTGTTTTCCTCCTCTCTGATACCAAACATTCGCTCTCGGAGGGACCGCCAGGGCCGTGCGCGGGGATCTGCGCGGCCGCTCTAGGCGCCCCGAAATGAGCGACGTGAGCTCCTGCCGTCTTTCCAAAACTAGCGAGCATGCAGATAGGATCTCTTGTGATAATTTAGGGAATATTTGTGGAAGGAAAATGGTACCTGCTTGCTCAGACCTTGCGTGTTTTGGGGGCCTTTTCTGTGCTCTTTAATGCGAACGTTAGGAAGATGTGGCAGGAGCCAGCTCCTTTGCTGGAGAGGGTTCCTTCCTCGACATGTCTCATGCCTACAGCGTTTATAAACACACATGACTTTATCAAGATAATTGAGATGAAGTTCATTGTAAAAAATGCTTTGTTTAAAGAGCAACCATTAAAATGAAGGACCCGTAAATATTTACGAGCAGTTCGGTTAATTCAAGATTAAGGGGAGAGCTGAGAGACTTGGTGTTTAATGTCTTTTTTTTTCTTTTTCTTTTTTTTTTAACCTCTCTCAAAGCGGGGCGGCAAAGGCATATAGTGCCAGGAAAAGGTGTTGCATTGCTTCCCATCCATTGTCGAGAAGATACCTATAATTCTTTTAAAACAGGAAGAACCGCGGTATAATAAAACCATTGAGATGGCTAGACGTCTGGAGCTAATGAGTTTACGATATGCTGTGGTGCTTTTCTTTGAAACTACCTTATTTTGATGTTTGTGTTTGTTAGGGAGGAAAAAGACAAAAATGCAGACTAACTAGGTCTTAAAATCTTGAACTATAAATTTCATTACGTCAGCGTTGGACCAAGGCGACAGACTCAGAAACCCGAAGGTCACAAAATGGAGAGATTTTACAAAGTCGACTGATTTGCTGAAATGTGTTTTATTGGATTTTCCCCCATGATGAATCCTACCGTGATCGCGTCCATATTTTTGAAAATATCCATGTGGGGGGACTGATCTATAACTAACAACATGTAAACAATATTCTTACCACAGGACACTTCATTATGGTGATTCTAGAAGGGACTCTGGTAGGAAATAGGCACCAACACCTACCAATCTCGTCTTAATATTTTATCTCAGGCACAGCGACAGATTTAACCTTGCATATTTTTCTCTCTCTCTCTCTTCCCCCCCCCTTTTTTTTTATTATTTATCTACTTGCTATTTCCAATGCTGCGTGTGTTTATTCCAAAATGGCAGACAGAAAATCAAGCGTCTCGAAGTGCGCAAAGCAATTCTTGCTCTAGGATTACTTTTTACGTCGAACTAAACAATCTTGTGATTCCTATGTGTTGGGTGTGATAATGTTTACACAGAGCGACGGTCGTGTACATCCGCACCCGCATCAGACCAAGGAGTGCCGAGGCATGCGCGATGAAGCTGGGGCAAACAGAGCTCCATCTTTACTTTCGTTTACATCAATCAATCCAGAAATACATAAATGCAAGGATGAATAAAACAACAAGTTCAAGACGAATATATATATATACATATATAGCTCTGAAACTACCACACATGGAGAAGCCGTGGTGTAATATGTGGGGAAACATGATCGAAAACGCGATAGCACCGGTCTTCAAAGCCCCCTCGCCCGAGCTGGCTGCCATGTGTAAACGAGACACATTCTTTGTATGTAGTTAATTATGGCACTGGCAGAAAATTAAAAGAGGGTCACCGAAATGTGCTTAGAAAATGGCATTGTGTCTGCGAAGGAAACAGAAGGAAAAAAAAAAGGAAAAGAAAAAAGAAAAAAGAGAAAATATAATGAATTCTGAAAAAGCTCTTCACGACCTGGAGCGAGGTCTGGGCGGTGCAGACCCCAGCCCGCCGCGCGCG